TAGAGAGAGGAAAGGCGCCCAGGCCCATCTTGTTTAAGCCAGGAGCAGCTCACCACCTACAGCACCCACCCAGCCACCGTGCATGCACTTCAAGATACCAAGGCAGACTCCTCACAAGGGAAGTGTCCTTACCTCTGAGTGACAGATGGCAGGTGAGCACAAACAAATCAGGACACAGCCTGAAGTGGTCAAGTCAAGAGGGGGTGGGTCTTCGGGCTCAAGGCTGTGCCCCAGCAGCCCCTCCTAGGGTCTCTGATCCCACCCTCAGCCCCAGAGAGCAGCGGGTCTTCTGCACTTGGGGGACACACACCCACAGTCTAAGTGGCCTGGCCCAGGGCAGGGAGAAGCATTTCCCAGGGCAGTGAGAAGGACCAGCCCAGGGACCCAGGAGGAAAGCTGGAGGCAGGAGGGGTAAGGGCCGCATTCTCAGCCACTCTGGTCCCAGCCAGGACCAGGGAGAAAGCTGGGGGCTCCTCGACCAGCTGGTGACACCCCTCATCCCCTCGTCCCCGCTGTGGCTGGAGGCATCTCAGTGGCTACAGAGTTCCCAACACCCCACCCACCACACATGGAAGAGGTGCCTCATCCTGCACATCTCCCCACCCAGGCACCCACTACCCAGCTACTGAGACCCCAAAAAATTCATGAGGCCCTCACCTTCTGCATCATCTCCTCCACACACCTGGCTGCCTGTGCAGGAAGGGTGGGCTGAGAAGTGAGCCCCGCCTTGCCCCTTCCTCTCAGCAGAGCCTGCGGTCAGGGGCCACAGGGACAGGATGCAACCTCATGCCCTAGCAGCCTCACTCTGAGGCTCCCCAGGCAGGCAGACACAGACAGAGGATGGGCAGGCAGGCAGGGGGAAGGCCACTGTCAGACACTCTGCCAGGCTTTCCCAGTCCTGAGGGAGATAGCCCGAGAGGCGAAAGGAAGGAGGACCCCTAGCACGGGACACAGGCGATACTCTGCACCCCCCATGCCTCTGGGTCCAGGCTCCCTCCCTGCCTCCCTAGAGCTGTCCCTCTGTTAATCTCTCCTCACTCCTCCTCCTCCACCCTCTCCCAAGCACAGCTGGGGTCAGCCAAGCTGGGGAGCTGTGGCTGATGACACAGGGCTGGCCTCCGGGGTCTTCCTGCCCTGGTGCTCCAGGAGCTGCTGGAGCAACTGTGGCTGGACATGGAAGCCCTGCGGCCTTGGCCTTCCGTCTACATCCCCTAGTTCATCGTGGACAACCTCATCCGGGGCTCTTGCGCGCGCAGCAGCTGGAGCAGATCCGCAAGGACATCCCAGACTTCCGGTCTAGCGCGGGGCTGGACAGAGTCATTGTGCTGTGGACGGCCAACACACCGCTTCTGTGAGGTGGTTCCAGGCCTCAAGGACGCGGCCGAGAACCTGCTGCGCACCACTGAGCTTGGCCTGCGGGTGTCTCCCTCCACGCTCTTCGCCGTCGCCAGCATCCTGGAGGGCTGTGCCTTCCTCAGTGGGTCCCCGCAGAACACCCTGCTGCCCGGAGCTCTGGAGCTCGCGTGTCAGCGCCGGGTTTTCGTGGGCGGAGATGACTTCAAGTCTGGACAGACCAAAGTCAAGTTCGTGCTCGTGGACTTCCTCATCAGCTCTAGCCTCAAGACCATGTCCATCGTGAGTTACAACCACCTGGGCAACAACGAAGGGCAGAACCTGTCGGCGCCGTTGCAGTTCCGCTCTAAGGAGGTGTCCAAGAGCAACGTGGTGGACGACATGGTGCAGAGCAACCCACTGCTCTATACGCCCGGCGAGGAGCCCGACCCCTGCGTGGTCATCAAGTACATGCCGTAAGTGGGCGACAGCAAGCGCGCGCTGGATGAGTATACCTCGGAGCTAATGCTGGGCGGGACCAACACAGTGGTGCTGCAGGACACGTGCGAGGACTCGCTGCTGGCCGCACCCATCACGCTAGACCTGGCGCAGCTGACCGAGCTGTGCCAGAGCCTGAGCTTCTGCGCGGACACTGACCCCAAGCCGCAGACCATCCACCCCTTGCTGTCCCTGCTCATCTTCCTATTCAAGGCGCCGCTGGTGCCGCCGGGCAGCCGGGTGATCAATGCGCTTTTCCGCCAGAGCAGCTGCATCGAGAACATCCTCAGGGCCTGCATGGGGCTCCCGCCACAGAACCACATGCTCCTGGAGCACAAGATGGAGCGCCCAGGGCCCGGCCTCAAGGAAGTCGGACCCGTGGCTTCCGCCTGCCCTGTGTCGAACAAGAAAGGACCGATGGTACTCATCATCTCTCCATGCTAGTCAGCAATGGGGAGAAACTCACCCCCAACTTCCCTTCTCTAGCCCCTCTCTGTTTTGCTCGATTATCCTCAGTGCAGATTCCACTGGCATTCTATCACCTGACCATTCTGGTATGTAGACTCCCAACCTCTCCTAGAATATGTCATGATAGAGTGATCCCAAGTGAGACCAGAGGCTTACCCCTTCAGAATGCCCACCACTGCTCTGATCCCCAACTCCGACTCTGTTAAGCTATTTCTTTTGTTTGTCTTCATATCTTAATCAGCTTTTCTTTTTTCTTTTGTGCCAGAGTCTCACTCTGTTGCCCAGGCTGGAGAGCAGTGGCATAATCTGGGCTCACTGCAACCTCCGCTTCCCAGGTTCAAGCTACTCTCCTGCCTCGGCCTCCTGAGTAGCTAAGACTACAGGCGTCTGTCACCACGCCTGACTAATTTTGTGTATTTTTAGTAGAGATGGGGTTTCACCATACTGGCCAAGCTGGTCTCAAACTCCTGACCTTGTGATCCACCCACCTTGGCCTTCCAAAGTGCTGAGATTACAGGCGTGAGTCACCACACCCAGCCCCTAATCAGGTTTTAAGTCCCCTATTCTTTTGTATCCTCCTGAAATCTTAAAGCATAAATTATAAGATCTGTAATTGTTATACCATCCAGTCCTCAAAAAAACTGTATTTTGTTTAAAAAATAAAATCAGCTCCTCTACCGTTTATGGAGTAGTTACTAATGAAACAATACTATTTTGAGAGGGAGGAACACATAGGTAGACATGAGAAACCTTAGAGCTTACAGTGAGAAATAACGTGGCACAGTGCTGAGAATGTACACACAAATATGGTCTCTCTAAATACTGGGATATAAAACTGCATTTTATTAAACTGCCATTTACACATCTCATTGTATTCTAATTGCTTCATAGGTAAAAATGCTTAAATGTTTTTCCTAATATCCCAAACTGGAAAGTGATGAACATATTTAATTCTCTCTCTTTTATTTTACTTGATTTCTTACACAATTCAGATACTGTGAGGGAACTTAGGGGAACAAGCTTGAAAACAAAAGTACTTAAGTAAACTTTATTGAGTGCTCACCATGTGCTAACTACTAGCGTGGCAGATTCTGGGGATAAAACAGTGAGCAAAAACCAGCAGTGATCTTGCACTGATGGAGTTTACAGTGCAATGGAACGAACCGGTAATAATCAGACCAGTCAATGATGAATTATCACAGGAATAAGTGCTGCACAGAAGAGCCAGGGTGCTGAGTGCACAGCACAGAGGGCACAACATGGACCTGGCCTATGAGCAGGGAATGGACCGGGCATCCGGGAGGGCTTCCATGATCAAGGACACACAGCTAGAGGAAAAACCTGAGGAGCACAGAGAGTACGCCAGGCAGAGAGAGGTAGGGGCAAATTTCTTGTGACTAGAGGGTGCAGGACAGTTCCAAGGAACTTAGAGGTAGTGGGAACCAAAGGACAAGGGACAGCTTGATGGGAAATGAGGCAAAAGAAGCAGGGAGGGACCAGACCTTGCAGGACCTTGTGGGTTGTGTTAAGGATAGATCTTCACCCTCAAGACAATAAGCAGCCACAAAGGAGTTCTGCCTGTGTTGTTAATTACATTCTAAGACCACTTATGGAGAGCATCTTGTGTAGTCCCAGATCCGTAGCAGTAGGCAGCGAATGCTGATTCCCTCCCAAAGGTATCCTACAACATTTACTGCTTTATCCAAATAGTCTACCAATTAACAATCAGAATGAGTATCTCTTGTATTTTCACATCAGTATCGTTGTGAAATGAATTAGTATGTTGGAGTCTTAATGGAATGTCCGTTATCTCTCAATATACAAATACAATCACCCTTTGATATCCAAAGGTTCTACCTCTGAAACCAAATGCAGATCAAAATGCAGAATTCAATGGATGTGAAACCTGTGGATAGTGGGCTGATGTTTTGTATATATGAGTTCCAAAGAGCCAACTGCAGGACTTGAGTCTGTGCAACCTTTGATATCTGTGGGGGTCTGAGAGAACCAATTCCCCATAGATACCAACCCACAACTAGATATATAAAAAGCAATTGTAGTTTTATTCCCTAGAAATGAACATTCTGGAAATGATATTAAGAAAACAATTTCATTTACAACAGCATCAAAAATAAAGAAATGCTAGTAGTAACTCCAAGAAATGAAGCACAAGATATATTCTGAAAACAGTAAGAGTATTGGAAGAAATTTAGGAGAACCTGAACAAATGGAAGTACACCACATGTTCTTTACTATGAGAAGAACACAGTATTATCAAGATGGCAGTACTTAAAATTCATTGAAAACCTTAATATAATCAAGATGGCAGTATTCCCTAAGTTGATCTATAGATTCAATTCAATTTCTATCACAATTCAAATTGCTTTTGTTCCCAGAAACCAAAATGACTCTAAAATTATATGGAAATAGAAAGGATTCAGAATTACCAAAGCCATTTTGTATAAAGAAGAGCAAAGTAGAGTACTCCCACTTCTAGATTTCAAATTTTACAACAGTCAACATTAATGAAGACTCTATGTACCGGCATGGAAGAGACATATAAGTCAATGGACCAGAACTGAGAATTCAGATGTCAATTGATTTTTGACAAGGGTTCTAAGACAATTTAATTGGAGAAAGAGTCTCTTTTACTTTTTTAACCAACAGAAATTTATTTCATTAAGCATAAAGTTACATTCACATTTGTCTACAAACACAGTCAGTAAGGAAATAAATACTATCAGCTTTCTTGCTGTAGGACTGGATGTTCAGTGGCAGGCTCACTTAAAGGCAGAGCCAACCCTGATGGGGACTCGAGATCAGTCACAACTACTTGGGAGGAGAACACAAAGACCACCAGCTTTCTTGCTGTGGTGCTGGATGTTCAGTGGTAGGCTCACTTGAAGGTGGAGTCAACCCTGACGGGGACTCGAGATCAGTCATAAATAGTTAGGGGGAGAACACAAAGACCACAAGCTTTCTTGCTGTGGTGCCAAATGTTCAGTGGCAGGGTCATTTAAAGGCAGAGTCAACCCTGACAGGGACTAGAGATCAGTCACAACTACTTGGGAGGAGAACACAAAGAACACCAGCTTTACTGCTGTGGTGCCAGATGGTCAGTGGCAGGCTTACTTGAAGGCAGAGTCAACCCTGAAGGGGACATGACATCAGTCACAACTACTTGGGAGGAGAACACAAAGACTGCAGCTTTCTTGTTGTGGTGCAGGATATTCAGTGGCAGGCTCACTGAAAGTGGAATCAACCCCGACGGGGAGTCCAGATCAGTCACAACTACTTGGGAGACACAAACACCGCTGGCTTTATTGCTGTGATGCCAGGTGTTCAGTGGCAGGGTCACGTGAAGGCAGAGTCAACCCTGACGTGGACTCGAGATCAGTCACAACTACGTGCGAGGAGAACACAAAGACCGCCAGCTTTCTTGCTGTGGTGCTGGATGTTCAGTGGTAGGCTCACTTGAAGGTGGAGTCAACCCTGACGGGGACTCGAGATCAGTCATAAATAGTTAGGGGGAGAATACAAAGACCACAAGCTTTCTTGCTGTGGTGCCAAATGTTCAGTGGCAGGGTCATTTAAAGGCAGAGTCAACCCTGACAGGGACTAGAGATCAGTCACAACTACTTGGGAGGAGAACACAAAGACCACCAGCTTTCTTGCTGTGGTGCTGGATGTTCAGTGGTAGGCTCACTTGAAGGCAGAGTCAACCCTGACGGGGACTCGAGATCAGTCACAACCACTTGAGAGGAGAACACAAAGAACACCAGCTTTACTGCTGTGGTGCCAGATGGTCAGTGGCAGGCTTACTTGAAGGCAGAGTCAACCCTGACGTGGACTCGAGATCAGTCACAACTACGTGGGAGGAGAACACAAAGACTGCCAGCTTTATTGCTGTAGTGCTGGATGTTCAGTGGCAGGCTCACTTGAAGGTGGAATCAACCTGATGGGGACTCCAAATCAGTCACAACTACTTGGACCACCAGCTTTCTTGCTGTGGTGCCGGATGTTCAGGAGCAGGCTCACTTGAAGGCAGAGTTATCCCTAACGGGGACTTGAGATCAGTCACAAATACTTGGGAGGAGAATATAAAGACTACCAGCTTTCTTGCTGTGGAGGCGGATGTTCATTGAGTGGGAGGCTCACTTGAAAGCATTGTGAACCATGACGCATACTCAAGATCTGCGCAAAGTACTTGGGAGGACAACACAAAGACCACCAACTGTATTGCTGTGGTGTCAGATGTTCAGTGGCAGACTTACGTGAAGGCGGAATCGACCATGACAGGGACTCGAGATCAGTCACAAATACTTGGAGGGGAATGCAAAGAATGCCAGTTTTCTTTCTGTGCTGTCGGACATTCATTGGGTGGGAGGCTCACTTGAAGGCAAAGTGAACCATGATGGGTACTCGAGATCTGTGAAAAGTACTTGGGAAGAGAACACAAAGACAGCCAGCTTTCTTGCTGTGGTGCCAGATGTTCAGTAGTAGGCTCACTTGAAGGCAGAGTCATCCCTAATGGGGACTCCAGATCAGTCACAACTACTTGGGTGGAGAACACCAATAACACCAATTTTATTGCTGTGGTATCGGATGTTCAGTGGCAGATTCACTTGCAGGCAGAGTAAACCCTGATGGGGACTTGAGATCAGTCACATCTACTTGGGAGGAAAACACAAAGACCACTGGCTTTGTTGTTGTGATGTCAGATGTTCAGTGGCAGGCTTGCTCTAAGTTGGAATCCATCTTGATGGAGACTCAAGGTCAGTAACAACTACTTTGGAGAAGAATACAAGGACTGCCGGTTGTCTTGTCGTTTTGGATGTTCAATAGTAGGCTTATCGGGAGGCAGAAGTGTCTTGAAGGGAACTCAGATCAATCAGAATTATTTTTGTTCAGTAGCAGGGTCATTAGAAGATGGAATCAATCCTGCAAAGAACTTGCTTTTTACCTTCAATATTTGGGGGTTGGGGGAAAAAATCCAGGTCTTGGTGGAAGATTTGGAGGAAAACCCCTGGGTGTATAGGCATTCCTCACTGCAAATGGAGCATATGGTGGACCTGGGAAATCGCTTGGTGAAAAATCATGTGGAGAAACTCCAAACAGGGTTCCTGGAGGAGGTGGGGGGAAAGGAGCTCCTCTTCTCATATCGGTAACATACGTGTAATGCTTTCTGCCAAATCCTGTGTTTGGAACATCAACTGCAGCAGGATCTTTGTGTAAAAATTTAAATTTCATCTCTGTGTCAGTTAATTTTCGTCTGTACTTAGCATTTTCTTTCCTTAATCGGTCGAGGTTTATTTCAGCAGTCCGAGCTGCCAACCAATTGTCATGTGCTTTTTTCTTAAGGAGTAAAATCTGCTCTTGATAAGAAAGAATCATTCTTTCCAACTCCTCTTCAAGATGTTGGGCTTGCTTTCTATACTCGTCCAGCTGGTCAGTGGTAGAGTTGACCTTTTCGTCTTGTTTAGAAAGTTTCTCTTGTCTCTCTAACTGGTAATTTTCCTCTACAGTGAATGTTTTGTAAAGTCTCATTGTCGTTTCTTCATGTAATTCAGTCATTACTTGAAGTTTCTGTTGAAGCTTCTGATTCTCACTTTCAAAATCTGTGTTTTCTGACTGCAAAGATGCTTGTTCAGACTGAAGATGTTTAATATGCCCCATAAGCTGCTTCTCTGTTTTCTCAGTTTCGGACAGCTGAATGTAAATTTCATTTCTTTCTCCTTCTAGACTTTTGAAAGAAGCATTTAACTCAGCAGCATGCATCAGTTTCTTCAAAGCTCCTTTCCGAGGATTAGCTAAGGAAGCGCCGTTTTCTGATTCACTCTTCATTTCTACTTTCGAGTTATGATCATCCATCATGTCTTCTCCAAGCACAGCAGCCCAATCTTTCATCTTCAGCAAGTGTTCAGTCAGCGTCTTGATGTGATCGTCTTTGTCATTTAGAACTTGTTCTGCGTGTACTTTGGAGTCTTCAAATATTATTTTCTGTTTATTAAGTTCACTCACTTGTTCTTTCCCTACTTCAGCTTCTTGCAAAAGATGTTTCTGGCTTTCCTGAAGTTGAGAATTTTCATTCAAAGCATCTTTTATCTCTGTCTTCAGTTGTTCACCATTCATTTGAAATATGTTCAAGGGCATTTTGGCTTCAGCTAGTTGTGATTTGAGGGATTTTGACAGATCTTCTAGAGACTGTCTAATTTCTGAAGTATCCACCATCAATGGATGTTGTCTAGAATGTTTGTATTTCTCTTCTTTTAACTCTTTTTTTAGATGTGATATTTCATCCTGTATTTCAGAAATGGACCTGCTTAGCTTTTCACAGGTTGCCTCCAAACTTTGTGCTTCTGCTGCTTCCTTCTCAAAGCTGACGTCCTGTAAAGATAACTCTCTTTCATAGCCTTCATAGCTTTTTTGTAGAAAACTTAATTTTTCAAGTAGTTTACATTTTTCTTTAATTTGCTCACAAAGCATTACAGCAAGCTTTTTCTCTCTCCCCACATATAGCCAACTCCTGACTGATCTAAAACTTCTCCACAAAAAAAGGGGAATAGCAAAAAGTCCAATAACACCTGCCCATATCACTAATTCCCATGGAAAACCATTAGAATTTGATACCATACTTTCCAGCAGTGCTGCCACGATCCTGTGTAGCTTCTCCATGACCAGCCCCAACTAGGGCTGAGGAGTAGCTCCAGGCTCCTACACAGCACCAAGGCTGTTGTGGTGGTCGCCACAGTAACCAATGAGCACATAGAATGAGTAGCCTTCAGTCTGGAACTGGAGCAGACCACTGCGGAACGGGCTGTGGGGGGAGCTGTGGACAGGGGCGGGGGCAGTGGAGGGCACTGGAGAACAGGTAGCCTTCAGTCTGGAACCTGAATCCACACGGGGCAACTGGAGCAGATCACTGTGGAACCGGCTGCGGGGGGAGCTGGGGGATGCAGACACCCACAGGCCTTACAGGCCCACGCTGCCCACCCCGACCCCCTTGCTACACTTTACATCTTGAGGTGGTGCAGGTCCAGGCCTGATCCTTATTAAACTTTTTTTTAATTGGTAATGCCATATTGTGTTAATTACTTTAGCTTTTTAATAATAAAAGATTTGTCAAGGAGAGATAAAATTTATGATTCTTCAAAATTGCCTTGGCCATTATTGACGTTTTGCTCTTCTATGTGAATTCTACTATCAACATGTGAAGTTTCATTTAAAAAATCATTTTGGCTATTTTTTGTTTGTTTTTAGAAACAGGGTCTCACTCTGTCACCCAGGCTAGAGTGCAGTGGTGCATAGCTCACTACAGCCTCAAAACCCTGGACTCAAGAGCTCCTCCCACCTCAGCCTTCCAAGTAGCTAGGACTACAGGTGTGTGCCACCACACTGAGACATTTCGGTATTTTGAATTGCGTTATATTTGCAGGTGATTTGGGACAAATATCTTTTTTTTCATCATGAAGGTAACATTTTCCCCCTTTAAGATTATCTTTTGTGTCCTTCACAAACATTTTGTAATTTTCTATGTTGATGTTTTGTGCATATTTTGTTTTCATTACTAAAGAGTAGCTTTTAAAAAATCACTTTTTTTTTTAACAGAGTTTCGCTTTGTCACTCAGGCTGGAGTGTAGTGGGTGCAATCTTGGCTCACTGCAACCTATGGCTCCCAGGTTTATCTGATTCTCATGTCTCAGCCTCTGAGTAGCTGGGATTACAGCATGCACCAACATGCCTGGCTAATTTGTGAATTTTAATAAAGACAGCGTTTTGCCATTTTGGCCAGGCTGCTCTCAAACTCCTGGCCTCAAGTGATCCGCCCACCTCGGCTCCCTGAGTTCCAGGATTATAGGCATGAGCCACTGCCTTCAGCCTAATCACGTTTCTTAACTGGCCACTGAATGCAGGAACACCATTTGAATGTACATTAAGCAATGTTTGTTTTTTTTAAAAAAATCTCTATGATATGTTTAGCTAAAACAAAACATCAGAATGCATCCTACAAAATAAGCATATTGTTTGATAAAACTCAAGAGTTACAACGTAAAAAGTAAAATTCATTAACTTGAATTTCAGGCATCTGAAGCCACTATTCTAAGTTTGAAACTGTTCCATTTTTTTACATTCTTTTTATTAGTGAGAATATACAGATAATACCGTTACTGCCTTTAGATTTCTAAAACAATCATCATTTCCCTCCATCTTTAATAGTTTAGCCAGTTATACAATTACTTATGACCATAGTAGTCTGAAGATTTTACTCTTGTTGCTGATGAGAAGTTTGCTCAGATACCACTGTCTTCCCTCTGTAGATGCTGTCTACTACTTCAGGTAGCATCTTAAGCTTTTCCCTTTTTCATGATGCTCTGCAGTTTTACTTTGGTAGCTGACTTAATTTTATTATTATCAACACTTACAGCTAATTTCCCATCTAGAGACAGTTCTTTCTTCATTTCTAGTAAACTCTGTGTCATTATCTCTTTGAGTGTTACTTTTCTACCCTCTTTCTCTTCTTGGCCATTTGTCAACATTTATTACCTAAAATCCTGTTACGTCTATTCATTTATCCTCCAAGTTTCACAAGTGTTCTCATGTTTTTTATATCTTACTGTCTCTAACTTATTAATTTCTTATGAACGAATTAGCATCATACTTATGCATTCTCACTTTCATTAGTCTAATGATTTCTTTGTAATTTTAATTATATTGACCATATTTGTCATTTCCAAGATATTTAATTGTTTCAATTTTAATATTTTTTTCTCCTACATATGTAATTTTGGCTCCTTGGATGTCCCTATTTCTTGTTCTTTTCAATTTTTTCCCCCTTTGGCTCTTTGATAAACCCCAAGTAAACATCATTCAGATTCTTATTTCAGTTTCATTTTCATTTATCTTCTGCTTGGTGGGGATTTTTAAGTTGCCTGTTTTAAGAATCCATGTGTTGTGGAAATTGAATTTTCACATTTTAAGGGTTTTTTTTTTTAACATCTTTTTTAGCACTCCCTTCTCTCTGCTGGATAAGACTCATCTTGGCACCCTTCTTTAACAAATCTTTTTAAACAAGTTGTGGTAGGAAAACTGGATATCTATCTTTAAAAATTAATTTGGACCCCCTACTCTATACTATATACAAAGATTAACTCCAAATTGATTAAAGACCTAAACACAAGAGATAAAACTATAAAACTCCTAAAAGAAAACACAGGCATAAATCTTAATAACCTTTCCTGACATTTGCTAAGAGAGCAGATTGTAACTGCTCTTACCACAAAAAAATGGTAATTGTGTGAGGACAGGAATACATTAAGAAGCTTCCCTGTAGTATTCAGTTAACTGTGTATATGTATCTCAAAACATCACATCACACACCTTAAATACATGCAATTTTAATAAAAATAAGAATTTTAAAGAAAAATACAAAATGAAGATTTCTGATGGTAAATGTAGTGCCTGCTGTCTAAAAAAATAGACATTTTTACAGAGAAGACACACAAACAGCCAGTGGGTATATGAAAGGGTGCTCAATATCACTAACCATCAGGAAAATGCAGATCAAAATCACAATGAGATATCACTTGTTAGGAAGGCTATTATCAAGAAAAAAGCCAAATGGTAACAAGTTGTATTAGTCCCTTTTCACACTGCTGATAAAGACATAGCTGAGACTGGGCAATTTACAAAAGAAGGAGGTTTAATGGACTCACAGTTTTCTACATTGCTGGGGAGGACTCGCAATCATGGCAGAAGGTGAAAGACACATCTCACATGGCAGCAAACAAGAAAAGAGAGAACTTGTGCAGGAAAACTTGCTTTTTAAAAACCATCAGATTTCATGACACTTATTCACTGTCATGAGAACAGTGTGGGAAAAACCCACCACCATGATTCAATTATCTCCCACTGGGTGCCTCCCACCATACATGAGAATTATGGGAGCTACAAGATGAGATTTGGATAGGGACACAGAGCCAAACAATGTCACGGGTGTTGGTGAGAACATTGAGAAATTGAAACCATTTTTACTGTGTTGTGGGAAAGTAGAGAATGATGCAGCCATGATGGAAAACAGTACAGAGCCTCCTCCAAAAATTAAAACTAGAACTACCTTGTGACCTAGCAATCCCACTTCTGGGTGTATACATCCAAGAGAATTGAAATCAGGATCCTGAAGCACTATCTGCATTCCCATGTTCACCATAACATTATTCACAATAGCCAAGATAAGGAAACAAACTAAATGTCTGCCAACAGATGAATGGATAAAGAAAGTGGGGGCAGATACACACCATGGAATATTATTCCACCCTAAAAAAAGAAGGAAATTTTTCCATTTGTAGTAATATGAATGAACGTAGAGGACATTAAGCTAAGTGAAATAAGACAGTCACAGAAGGGCAAACACTAGGTGATTCCACTTATAGGAGACATTTAAAATAGTCAAACACCCAGAAGAGGAAAATAGCATTGTGATTACCTGGGGCTTGAATGAGTTGAAAATGGGCAATTGTTGCTCAATGGGTGTAAATCTTCAGTCATGCAAGATGAAAAAGTTCTAGAGATCTGCCATACAACATAGTACCTACAGCTAAAATATGGCATTGTGTACTTAAAAACAGTTAGGAAGATAGTTCTCATGTGGTGTTCTTACCATACACAAAAATAATAATAAACAGAGACCACACCATAAAAGAATACAAGAAAAGTTTTGAAAGTTATGAATATGTTTACTACCTTGATTCTACTAAATGGTATCACATGTGTATGCCTGTTCAAACTCAACAAAATACATACATTAAGTATGTGCAGTTTTGTGTTTATAAATTAGACCTCAATGAAACTAAAAAATGCAGTGTTCGTGCCAAGGGCTTGAGACAGTTAGCGTGACTCGCCCCATCTTGGCTGCTGGACCTATCTGCTCTCCCCCTGCTCTCGAGGGCGAGGTAAAAATGGCTAAGCCACTGAGGCAAAAACAGAATGCAGAGCAAGGGCCTGCAGTTTATGAGGACATTGTGCTGACTGCTTCATATCCCCTTTAGTCTCTGTGTAAGCAATAGGCTTGCTGCAATTGAGATGCCTGAGAGGGACAGAGACCCCTGACCATATTTTCTCAGGAGCTGAGCCTTTGCTCTACCTCCTGATGGAAAACATAGTTAACAAGCCACCTTAAGGGCACCATTGTTTGCTTGCACTGTGTATCTTTGAAAAGCATATATTAACTCTTAAACTGCTTTGTAAGCTATTATCACAAACCCCCTTAGACTGCTTTGTGAGCTGTTATCACAGGCCCCTGGTAACAATTTTTACATGATTTCTGTTCCCTTTTCTGTTTACCCCCTTTTCTGTTGAGCTAAAGTAAATGTAACAAGAAAAAAGGTATAAAAGCTGTAACCCACAAAAATAAAGCTGCTGCTTGACTACAAGTCATTCAGGCCTCCAGACTCTGCTTTTTTTTCTTCTTTCACTTCCACGCACTCTCTCCCTCAGGTTGAACGAGACATCTACGTTGGTGGTCTTGGGGCTCCCGCAGATAGGTAGCCCCCCCGGCGGAAGTGCCGGACCCCAACAAAAAAATATCCTATGACCTTGGATTAGACAATGGTTTTTTAGTTATGACAGCTAAAACACAAGCAGTCAAAGGAAAAAATACATAATAAAACTTCATCAAAATTATAAAACTTATATGCTTCAAAGAACACTATCGAGAAAGTGAAAATGAAAACCATATA